TTAAGTAATAAGGCATTTTGATTTGCCATAGGTCTCGAAAGAGGCTCATACCAAGACTGAGGTGGTGGTTTTCCATGATTTTGGTTACTAGTTTGACCATTAGTATGCCCATTACTCTGCATAGGCTGTTTGTCTCTAGCTAATCTTTGTTGAAGGACATTTGAATTTTCCTCTATATGCTTTGCATTAGTTGGTTGATGAGTATTCATTAACTGCTGTCCCATGACACCTACTAGGCCTCCCCATGGATTCATTGGCTGAGTAGATGGAACAGTGGATGGTCCAATTCCTTGGCCTCGTCCAATATTATAAACATGTGGTACTTGTTCCGAAGTGCTGGTCTGTTCGACTATAGGTTCTGATAAAATGGGTGTTTCCACATGATGCGTTATCACATTATCCTCTGTATTAGGCATTTCTACCTCTCATTCCACGCCTTATTCCAAGCGTTCATTTTCTCCTTGTCTCCTACGTCTAGCCATTTCAATTAGTCCCACCAGGCGTGCCAAAAATATATGTTGGCTTTTTTGGCTTTCGAAGGTTATTTTTGTAATTGTGAGCGTGCCAGCAAGGATCAATCAGTCATTACAGATTATTAATTGCCAACCAATTATCAGACGATTGTATTTTAGTTCTTTCAGCCTTAATGAAGAGGACTTTTACTGGTGGCTTTACTTAGGAGAATTAACTGACGATGATTAAATGAAGAACAATTACAACATTTCATTAAGTAAAAATGAAAGACTTACAATGACCCAATTCAGCCTCGTAGAGATTTATAGCAACAATCTACTTGAAATTACTCCTATGAACGAAATGCAATGCATGAATTTTAAAGTACAACAATGTAAAGAACAGGAAATGTAAAAACTGGAAAAGAAATAAAGTAGATAAAATTGGTTTCTTTAGATCTGAGTCTGGGGCTTTTTTTGGGGCTTTCTCAGCTATTTATAATTTTCAAGGATAACCATCGAATTGCACCTCTAATCGTCGAAACGTTTCTCCATGATCGCTGATCATGTTGCCTTATAGTTAGCTCCACTATGCCAATACCTGCAGTTAGGCTTCCTTCCTGATTTTGAATTTAAATGTGAGTAACCGTTGAAGCCACGTCATCTTAAATCCCTTTGCCAATCTAGTGTTACGCAAATCCATTATAACCAATGCTGACTGCCACGTGTGTGATTATGATTGAAGACTTGAATAGTCTTCCCGTATTGCCCTTATTCTGCCACGCGTTGAATTGTAATTGGCTTATACAAAATATGTAGCCAACAATTTGGAATGGTTCAAGCCTGAAAAAAATTGATGCATATTTCATCTTATCAATCACAAAATCCAATAACTTCGATAATTAAGAAATCGATAATTTTTGCAACTAATATTTGAATTAACAATGTAAAGTTTAATGTCCAAATATTATGAAGATGGAGTGATATGATTAATAGTATTAGGTGTATGGCATTAAAATAATCCACCAAAATATCTAAAACCATGACAACAAACCATGGCCCAGCCCAAAGACAAACCATAAGGCCCAAACCATATGCAAGAGAATGACCAAACAAAGACTAGCCCAAGACAAGCCGTTGCAACATTTGAATACATCTCACCATAACGTTTCCCCTCAAAATATGCATCACTCCAATTTTCATATGGTAAACTTCTCAAGAAAACACTCACAATGTCTCCTCCCTCACTTTTTAATTCATTTAACTTGAAATGAAATAATGCCTTTGTTGGTGCATATGCACATTCTGAAAACTTGGACACAATTGTCTCCCTAACCAAATTTGTATTTCCACATGACAACTTATCTATCAAATTTCTCTATAGATGTTCAAGACAAAATCTATTAAAGCAATTAGGAAAAAACCTAGCAATTCTTTCCACAATACCACAATGTCGATCTAATATGAAACTTATCACCCTCTCCAATCCTAATACTTCACATAAATGTTCAAGGAACCAACACCAATTATCTTTATTCTCAGCATCAACAGTAGCAAAAGCTATAGGAAAAAAATCTACAAAACAAATAGGAACAAGCATATTAGATATACACAGACAGAGAAAATTAGAACAATAAAGAACCAGAGAAATTTGACACTGCCAACATCCAGAGAAAATTCACACAATGACAACCTCCAGAGAAAATTCACTTAGTGACCAACTCCAGAGAAAATTCACACATTGGCAACATCCAAAGAAAATTGACTTAGTGACCAACTACAGAAAAAATTCACACAATGACAATATCTAGAGAAAATTCACTTAGTGACTAACTATAGATAAAATTCACACATTGGCAATATCCAGAGAAAATTCACTTAGTGACAATATCTAGAGAAAATACACTTACCGACCAACTATAGATAAAATTCACAACTTGACAACATCTAGAGAAAATTCGCACAACGGTCACAACCAGAGAAAATCCACACAGTGGCCAAAACTAGAGAAAATTCAAAGTGTCAGAGAAAAATCACATTCACTCAATTCCTACATGTATAGAAAATTCACATACTTAGATAAAATTAGATATATTTACAATTTCCTTCATTCCCATCTTTCCCCGTCGCAGCAAGCATAAGTCCTTTGTATTGTCCTTTCAAAAATGTTCTATCAAGAAACACCAATGACCGACAATATTTGAAACAAGCAATGCATGCATGAAAAGCCACAAACACTCTTTTAAAATGCTTGTTATCTTCAAAATCTAACTCATAACGACTACCTGGATTGTTCTTCAATACCTCATCAAAATACTACCGTAATTGATCGAATAACAAACAAGAATCCCCATATGTATTACATTTTTCTTTTTCAACCCCCAACCAACCACAATTATAACTGATTGAGACCCCATACTTGTCTTTCATTTCTTTGACAACATTCACTGGACGAGTTAAAGGTTTTGCACTTACCTCTTTAAGTATCAGCACAGAAACTAAGCTGGAAGTCATCCTAGCATGTTTATTAGTACGAACCGCCACACCACACGTATGTTCATTGTTCAAAGTTCTTATGTAAAAGAACTCATTCGTTTTTTCAACTGAAGCATATACACGCCACATACATCTCCTTGATTCCTTATATGTACATTCTGTCGTAACCCTGAGCTTGTCATTTTTAACATACGTAAATTGAAAACCAACCTCAATAGCATACTTGCATAAAACAGTACAGAACTCAACCACACCACCCTCAAACTTTTGTCCAACACTCATAATATTATTTCGCCAACCACCTGACAATAACACCTTTTTTTGGTGAGAACAAAACTTAGAGAGTGAATCCCTTTCAATATCCACCAGCCTATCACATTCACCATGCACAACATCTACCTAATTAGACCCCACTTCATCCTCTTGATCAGAAGTACTACACCTAGTAACTGAAACATCAACTATATCAACACCACGTGCACAAACAACCCTAAACATATTCAAAAAATCAGCATTATTTCGAATCATACAATTCAGATGGCTCACAATAGAATATGAAATACATATCGTCTCAGGTTTCAAATTCTCCCATGTTTTATACAAAATGCCAACCAATTCCTCAAAATTCAATTCGCATGAAACATTAATGACAATAGTAACGCGAAGCCGGTTTGGAAATTGGACTTATACGCTAAGCGAAGCCGGTTTGAAAATTGGACTTATACGGTACGCGAAGCCGGTTTGACAATTGGACTTATACACTACGCGAAGCCGGTTTGATTATTGGACTTATACGCTACGCGAAGCCGGTTTGGAAATTGGACTTATACGCTAAGCGAAGCCGGTTTGAAAATTGGACTTATACGGTACGCGAAGCCGGTTTGACAATTGGACTTATACACTACGCGAAGCCGGTTTGATTATTGGACTTATACGCTACGCGAAGCCGGTTTGGAAATTGGACTTATACGCTAAGCGAAGCCGGTTTGAAAATTGGACTTATACGGTACGCGAAGCCGGTTTGACAATTGGACTTATACACTACGCGAAGCCGGTTTGATTATTGGACTTATACGCTACGCGAAGCCGGTTTGAAAATTGGACTTATACGGTACGCGAAGCCGGTTTGACAATTGGACTTATACACTACGCGAAGCCGGTTTGAAAATTGGACTTATACGCTACGCGAAGCCGGTTTGAAAATTGGACTTATACGCTAAGTGAAGCCGGTTTGAAAATTGGACTTATACGCTACAGGAAGCCGGTTTGATAATTGGACTTATACGCTACGCGAAGCCGGTTTGAAAATTGGACTTATACGGTACGCGAAGCCGGTTTGACAATTGTGGCTTGATCTCACCTCCTCTCTGTATCCATTTTCATTATATATGAGCATGTTAGGGTTTCTATTCTACATTTCACATGATTTCTTCATTGAATATGATGGATCTATGTTAGCTACTTGGTTATTGTTCACTTTGATCACCTCTCATGATTAATGATATTTTACTTGAATTAATGGAATGAAAAGTGTTGGAAACAATGTTGTATGTATTATTACTTTGAAATTCACATTTTGTATCGAAAATGCAAATTTGATCTTAAAGCCTAAAAAATTATACTCTAGGATTAATTTGATGAAGTTTGACATTAATATATTTTGTTCACTTTGAGAAAATCATAAAATATTAAAGTGTGTAAAATTTGGGAAAAAAAAATAAAGTTATTCGGATAGCTAGGTATTGAATATGGCTATTTTTGAAAGAAATCAATATTTATATTTGATTTGTTATTTTTCTTATTTTGAATTATGTTGAGCTTGCTAGTTTTGTTCATATAACTACTTAGATTGGAAGGACTATGGAGATGAAGGCTCCATAGTCATAATTAAATAAATAAATAAATAATAATAAATAAATAAATAAATGGTAAAACTATCATAATTAATCGTGGAGCTCTCTCTCTCTCTCTCTCTCTCTCCAACAGAGCAATTCGTTACCTTTCAACAAATTCGCATTCTTAACAAGCCACAATTCTTATGCGACATATACAATGACATATTCAACGAAAGGAGGATTTTATGGTGATAACGAAGACAACAGTATCACACAACAACTAAATGTAAGTCAATCACATCTAGCCTTGTTTTATTAACTACAATGTATTCTAATATTGATAAACAATCACTTGTGTGCAGAGCGGCGTTAGAGCCTTAATGTTAAATATATTTGCTTATAAAGGGGATGCATGGTTATGCCACGGATGTGATTATAAGACTGGTTTACTAAGCCAAGTAAGTACCTCTTGTTTAAATTACAACTTCACGCAAAGTAGAATTTTTATTAATGTTTAAGTTAATTATACCTTATCTCTCTCAAATATTACCTTATCCCCCTTAATTGTAATATCATATAATTAAATCTTTCAACTATCAAAAACTATACAAAGACCACTTTTCCTAGGTGGAAATGAAGCAATTTTGTTAGATGATGGGCCTAAATGTGCAATTTTGCAGCTGAGGGGATTAACATGACATTCAATGATACTCAAGGGGGTAAAATATGATTTATAATTAATGTTAAGATAATTTATTTCATAAATAACATTGTACATTTGGTTGTTTCCATAGGGTCCTGCGCTTGGCCTCTTTAAGGAAGTTGAAGCCTTCTTAACTTTAAATTCATATGAAATTGTAACACTAATCCTAGAAGACGGAGTTGATGCTGGGACGAATACATTAGGAAAAGTTTTTGATGCTTCTGGGTTGACAAAATACTTGTTTCCATTATCGAAAATGCCTTTACATGGTGAAGATTGGCCATTAGTCAAAGACATGGTTACAGCTAATGAAAGGCTCGTTGTCTTTAGTTCATCCAAATCTAAACAAGAAAGTGAAGGCATTGCATATCAATGGAACTTCATGGTTGAATATAAATGTAAGCAAACACATTCCAGCTCTTTGATTTTAAGCCTTCATTTTTCATGTGAAAAACCCAATTTTAGGTTTGTTCATTTTGTATTAATAGTGTATACTTTACGTGGGTTCTTGTAGATGTATCATTTTGAGTATTTTCTTAATTAAAATTTGCAGTTGGACGTGATGGAATGCATACTAATCGTGGGCGGTCGTTGAAACTAAACAACACTAGTAAATCTCTAGTGTTATTCAACTATGTCGATTCAGAACAAAAAAAGAAAAAAAAAAACTACAATTCTGCTTACGACTTCACAGCGCCTAAGGAAATAAATACCAAAGATCTTATCAACACAATTAAAATGTGTTATACTTCAATCAGTAAACGATGGCCGAATTTCATTGCTGTTGATTATAGAAAGGTATAGATTAATTCTTACAAACGTATTATTTTGTAGCTCAAATATGTGGATTATCTGTTGAGTTATTAAAGATATTTAACTATTATCATCGCCATTTTTGTCATTGTAGAGGAGAGATGGAGGAGCAGCGTTTGAAGCTGTGGACTTCTTAAATGGAAAGCTATTATGTGGGTGTGAGGATGTGAATTCATGCCAGGTAAGTGGATAGTTATTCACATTATCTTACTAGAATTGGGATTGCTACAACTTTGCATTCAAAGAAAGTGTTATTGAATTGTAAGAAGTGATGTGTATATTTAGCATGTTAAATCCAAATTTGACCAAGTATATTATATTTCCAATGCACATATTTTTTAGATATAATGGAAGGAAGCCTCGATGAAAATCACTAAGTATTGAACTAAGCTTGTAGTGAAGCATATATGTATATGATTGTAATATCGATGATATTTTATTGTCTTAATAGGCTTATTCGAGTTTTTATAGGCTTAATATAAATGAATATCTAATCATTTTATTTTATTTTTTTCCCCTTGTAGAATGGTTCGTTGTGCACTTCAGATGTTGATGATGAATCTCAAAATCATATTTGGTTCAATGTTTAGATGACATAAATGTAATCTAAAATCACTATGTGCATCAGTGATGGATATCTTTATGTGCGGTTGCAACCTTGTATCAGACAATGACACATAATGTAAAAATTTGAGACTTTATTAATTTGATTTACTTTATATATCTTTAAAATTAATTAAAAAAAGCTCTATAACTTTATATTATAAAATAATTCTATACTATTAGGATTGCATTATGTCCTTTATTGTAGATGGCTACAAAAAATTGGGAAACTGACAAAGTTTCTAACATATGTAAAACAACAACAACAACAACAATAACAACAATAATAATAATGCTCTGAAGAATCTCCTTGAGTGCCTTAGTTGTTTAACATTTATGTTTCTCGTTAAGTTCAAGATCTTTCTACAAATTGGTCCATTGCCATTTAGCTTGTACCAGTTAGAGTTGTCCATGTTTTGAACAAAAATATATTATTCCTATATGAAACATCTAGGCCCCTAGATTGGGATTTATAATTAGATTTCAAATCCAAACAAAAACAAATGGTGGTGATAACAATTCTCTAAAAACATAAATTGATCTAAATCAATCTATTGAGAACTAATTTAGATTCAATCTTAACAATCAACAAAGGGACACAAGCAATTTTAACGTGAAAAATAAGTACTATTGGAATGCTCTAATAGTGATTACAGAAACCATGAGCCTAAAGGTTAATAAAAAAAAGAAAAATCCTCTAAGAGGAAAAGCAAGATTACACAAGCTAACTCAGCTAATCAATCTCCTAACGAATCCTTGCTTGATTATTCTAGAGTACTTGTGAATCTTCGACCTAACCACATCTTAAATTTGCCTCTTTGGTGTCGAATCCTCAAACACCAATGGGCTTGGAATCCAATGATTGAACTCCAAGTAGAAAATATAGACAAAACCCCACTTGAATAGATCTATCAAGTGCAAGAGATATGAAGAATCATCTTTGAATTGTCAAATGAGACATTGAATTTACTCTAAACTCGCTCAAGCAACACAACCTTCGCTTAAGTGAGAAATAAACCTTTGTGGTACTTGATAAACTCATAGTTACTATGAAAACCAAAACCTCACTTAGGCTCCCCTTACTTAGCTCGAATGACGATTTCAGCCTTGCAGTATTTGTAAAGCTCAGATAGAAATATTACAAGATCCAAAAGTTCAGTCGAAGGACACAACCTTCGCTTGAGTGAGAAATAAACCTCTGTAGTACTTAAAAAATGCATTCAAAGTTGCTATGAAAAACAAAACCTTGCTCAAGCTCCACTTACTTCGCTAAAGAGGTGATTTCAGCCTTGCTGCATTTGTCAAGCTCAAAGAGATATTACAAGAACCAAAAGTTCACTCAAGCTCTACTACCTTTGCTTGAGAAGAACTAGAGCAATCCCAAGCTTGGATTCATGTCTAAATCCCATAAACACTTAAACAAACACAATGTAGAGAAAGAAACAATGAAAAGGTGTTTTTCTCGAGTGGGACTGCCAACAAAGGACGTAATAATCTCCACCTTTGAAAATTCGTAGACAAAAGCACTTATAACATTATGAATCCTATCTCTAAACCCACAAGACTCTATATAGCAAAAACAATTTGGAATCACAAGGGTCATTAGCAATGGATATATGTGTGAATGTCGTGCCTTTCTAGTTATTAGGCCTGTTTCCACATTATGTTGTGCCAACTTGCTTTAACCGAAATAGAGTCGACACTTAGTTTTTAACGGAAAATAAGAAACCTTTAACAATGAAAACTAAATAAAGTCACTAATCCGTCAAGTATAAGAAGGGAAGGTCAGTAATTGATGCACCTCTCTTACCCAATCAAGTGATTGTCCCATACTAACCTTTTATTTTATGAGATTAAATAATTAATTATTCTACAAAATTCATTATTAACCCTAATTCCTTACTTACCTTAATCAACTAGATGATTTGAATAAAAGATAAGCGTCATTTATTTGTTTATTAATGAATAAAGCCTTCTTTTTGAAAATAATAACCTTTCCAACAAAAATTGATTTTATGATTCATGACTATAAACTTAACCAAAAATAAATAGCATTTATAAAACATTTAAAACAAACAATTTTGCTCCAAAAAAACAAAAAACAAAAAACAAAAACAAAAACAAAAAATAAAAACACAAACTTAGATTATGGAAAATCAATGCAACCAAACATGCATACATGCTATGAAGGATAAAAAGACTTACCCGGATGCCCACTTCAAGCATCTTACCATGCAAAGTTTGATTAAATAAATACACATGAGCCTAAGCATGCAACTATACACACACAATGCAAACCAAATTCCGGTTTAATGGTTACTAACATGATTTAATGCAAACAAAGCAACTTATTTTTGGGTAAATAACAAACAAAGCAACTATCACATAAAGTATGTTGAATATTATACAATGATTCAACTGGACTATGTGCACGAATATTACATTATTCATCTAGCCTAAACATGTTCTTTAGATAAACTAAACAAAACATGCGAAATAAAATGGAAAATTAATAAAATAGCTGACCTACATGAAATTTCATGCAACCTATCATCCTAGCCATGATTACATGATGAAAAATAAAGTAAAAGCTACTAAAAATTGAAAGAAAAGAGAGCTTACTTGCTGGTTTGCAATAAATCAAAGAAAATGCGAAGAAAATATGTAAAAACTTGCATCATTGTTTCCCTTAGGCTTAGGTTTTGATTATGTTCAAGTTCTTCAAGTCTTAGATGATTTTTTAATTGTTAGAGTTGCTATGGGAGGGTGTATTTTCGAAGCCTATGGTTTGAGAGAAAAAGAGGAAAGGAATTCCACTCAAAAACAAATAATTTTGCTCAAAAAGTTCAACCTATTTATGGCTTAGGGTATAGCGATCCTCTTTTTGACCCGACCTTTGTTATATTTCGGACTCAGGTCTCGTGGTTTAATATTGTTATTTATGTCTTCTTTCCCTTCCACTCTTTAATTTTGAGATTTGGAATGTGCTGGGCACGTTTGGAATAGATGGGTTGTTATTTAGTCTAGAATGAAGTTTCCCAGATTTTGGCTTCTTTGCTCGAGCAAAGCTTTCCTCGCTTGGGCGAGCTTGGTGATCTCCCAGTATTTCATTCAGACTTGCAGAGTTCTGGGAGGGTATCGTTCTTTGCTCGAGCGAGAACTCTTACGCTAGAGCGACGGTCTTCTGTCTACAAAACTTCTGGGCATTTGTATTCTACGCTCGAGCGACGCTTCTTGCGCTCGAGCGAGGACACTTATTATGTCTCGTTGTTCAAGCGACAACTCCTTTGCTCGAGCGAGCCTCGCGTATATCAGTTCGCAGCAGAGCAGTTTTATGTCACTTTTGATTTTCTTTTCACTTAAAACCCTAATCCGGCTCCTTCTCTCTCTAAAATACTCTCTCTCTCTCTCTACAAATACACATAGATTTAGGGATCTCTCAACCCTAGTTCCTTTGTTAAAAAGGTCGACCATCTTGTAGGCTTCCATTTGACCGAACAAAGTCGAGTTTCAGTGTCTTTGAAATTCTTCTATTTCTCCTTTGGGCTTCTACTCTTAAGGTAGGGACATTCTACATCTTCATGTGGTTTTTAACCTAGTTATTATGTGCTTTGTATAAATGATGAGATTTGGGAGTGATTTTGAGTAATCTAGGGTTTGGGTTCAAACTAAAAGAGGGGTTTTCTATGTTGGGTTACGAAATGAATATGGGGCTTTGAATATGAAGCTCTCTTGTGATTAAATGGTGAAATTTAGCCTTAGGGTTGATATTTGGAAAAATGGGGAAATTTGCCCAAATTTATGTTGAATAATCATTTTGTATAAAGAATGAAATTGATATGGAAAATGTGAAATTGGGAGGATGTGTGAATGGCTGGTGTAGTTGGATTTGTTAACTCGCTCGCCTATGGAAATTTGATAAATTATCTATTTAAAAGATTGTATATCTGTTTAGAAATATTTGTTTTGGGTTATCAGTGGAGGATAGCCATGATTGTTGTAGAAATTGCATGAGGATTAGGTGAATTAAAATTAATCATTTGAACGATGTCATCGAATATTAAATCATTGAATATGTGTTGTGGATAGTCATTGTATATGACGATGCTTTTAAATACATTGTATATGTATCGCTATTTGGGAAGAGATAGGAGATGTACTCCATTATTTAGGAGGAGATAGGGGATGGACTCCATTTAAAATTAAGTTGGCCGAAGTGTCCAGGGTGAAAGTCCCAAAATCTTGTGTATATATGTGGGTGCCGATTCCCTCAGATGAAAATTCTGTAAAATGGCATGTTGAAGTGTTTTGAATAATAAATGTTATTGAATTGTGAACCAATGAGTTGTAGTCTCATTTGGGTTTTTATATAACAATGAACTAGACTCATGAATTGACTTAAAGTGAATGAATGGAAATGGATCGAGATGTGAACATCAATATTGAATGGTCGTGGGAAAGATGTAAGTTGGTTATGTATATTAAGCATTTAACTGACACTTATATCTTAGTTAAACGTCATATGTTACGTTTGTTTATTTCTACTGGGCTTTAGCTCACCCTACATGGGAAACCATTTTCAGGTATTGGTGACATGCCTCCTCTAAGGACGTAGCTTGGGAGGACTAAGGAGTTGAAGGCTCAATTTTGTTATTTATGTGTTTAATTGTTTATCCAAGCTGAGGGCTTTAAATGTATAGAGCTTATGACTCTCTTTTGTGGTAACCAAGTTATGTCTTGGAAAGATGTAAGCCCATAGGGCATTCATTTTGTTGTTTTTAATTAGTGTTACATGCTATAGTTTCAGAATGAATATTTATGAAAGTATAATGTCTGTAATATATTTTGTAATATAAACTCTAATATATCAAAGTATACTAATTCCATTTATATTCTCATCGCTTATGAGTTGGATTATTTTTATTTGTTTTGGGACCATGACAACTTGGTCTCAGAGCGTACCGGGTTTGGATACTTTGGGTACGTG